AAAAGATCTGTATGAACCCTGAATATTTTGTGATTGTTATTAATGTTAAATCTTCATCAGCATATGAGGTGAGGTGAGGTGAGGTTAAATTGGGTTTAACGTAGTGCTTGAGAATATTTTGCTCATATGATGACGTGCATGCATGTGTATGTGTATGTGCAGCTGCTTGAACTAGCCCAGACTTAAGCTGGTTTTATAGTGCTAGCCCACTGAGATACCATACCGCAGTGAAGCATGAATACCCCACTCAGACACATTATACTGACTCCGGGCCGACCAGTCCTTGTTGTACCCATTAATGCCGAGCGCCAGGCAGGGACCAACAAGTACCATATTTTAACGTCTTTTGGTATGACACGGTCGGGTATCGAACCCGCGACCTTCCACTCTCCGGGCGGACACTCTAACCACTACACCACGGAGTCGGTCCTCAGCAGCATATGAATGAGTGAGGACCATTCAGAGGTGGTCGGGTTCCCATTGTATTCAGGGGAAATTAGTATTTCATTCATACAGTTATTTTGTTTTATAAAAACATCTAAGGTTGTTTTTTTAAAATCAAAGGACTTTTACCTAGTACATTAAACATACATTCAATATAGTACAGCTTAGTATTAAAGTCTTTTTGTCACAATTGATCATTATGGGTAAAATACAAGTCACCTCTACAATGACATATTTAGTTATTCTCTTTTTTTTAACATAAATTTGGGATATTTATGTGCCCATTTGGAATATTTATTGACAATTTCTAAAGATATTGGTCTGAATGTTGGACTATCAGCAGCTCTAGAGAGCTCCTTGTGAAGGATGGGCACAAAGTGCCTTAGACATATGTAAGTGTGACGGAATCTTTCTATATTGGAACAAAATTTATTTATATATGGCTTAAAAGTTGATGTGAAAACTGTTTGGTGTGGCTGGCCATCCTAACTTAATTCCTCTTTTTAACGTCTTTATATATTGTGTTGTGTCTTCATAAGTGCAGTTTGAGAGTCGCTGAGTATCAATTGCTGACTTACATTAGAAATACACCACTTCATGAAATACTTTAGCTTCATCAACTGTGCACGTCGTAAACCATCGTATTCACGTGGAAACACCTTTGTTCTAGCTTGATAAAGTGAAGAGTGTTACAGGTTTTGTCTTGTTCTTTCTGATGTTTACTATACCCATCATGGTGCTGGAGGGGAAAGGGTGATGTCTATATATCCTTAAATCTGCCCTATCATCTTACGTTTTTATCCAATCAAACACCAATAGCAGGATGAAAACATAACTTCTATAGACTAAGAAATGACACTTTGAGGGTCTCATTATGGTAAGATCTAGAACTTGAGTCTAAACTTGTTATAATTTTTGTCGATCACTTGTCTCTAGCCAAGACTTGATAGTGTACCAGATCCCATGTTGTAGCAGGATTGTGGCTGATTGAAGCATAGAACAACATTATTGAATCATTTCTGAAAATAAGGCCGATGTTCCAAAAACACAGAGACATTGCAAATTAGGATTGCATTTAGTAGTTATCAAGTATCCTTGCTTCCACTCCTTCAACATGAGTGGAATGTATTCAGTGTTTGTGGTTTATGCAGCTGTCAGCAGTACACCAGCGATATCATGGTGGCCTGTGTCCCAGACATACCTGTTGGGTGGTATTATGAACAGTGTTGAGAGGTGTCTGGGTTCGATGACATGCCACCATTAGTCACCAGATCTGCCCACCTCATCCACTGTAGACAACTTACACTGCATTGGCCAGCCCTGAATCCTTGGATTAGCCTTTTCAACCCATCTGAGCATTTGGAAAGCCATGAGCATGATATACTGTATTGTGGACACATACACATAATTTGTATTTGTGTCATTCAGGGGGTGGAAATAACCCATTGCCCGACGTCCGAGTCCAGTGTTTTTTTTCTGTCGGGCAAGCAAATTTGTATATCACACTGTACCGGTGTCCAGTTGACTTTCCAATGTTAATTATGTTGTTTATTTAAAAAAATCAACAAGAAAACGGCCGGTAAAGTGGAAAAATTATCAGGGCAAGTGATTTTACATGTGCCACTGTTCTAGAGTACACTAGCAATTTTAAAGTTATTTCCACCCCGGTCATTACTTTTTTCTTTAAACCTGTCATAAAATAGGGTTTTCATAAGAAGGTATTACAGCGCGCCACTCATTGAAAACATGGTATCTGATATATATTCACCCACAAATGCTTTCTTTGTTGTAATATGATAAAGCAGGTTTTAATGAGCACACAATTTTTCATGATTTGAGAGGTTGACAAAGTTGGACATTGTGTCCTCGAAGACGTAAATATGATAACTTACATCTTTATATAATGGACACTAAAATGAAACCTGACATGACATATTACAGGTAGTAATCTGAACGAGGGTGATCCCTAACCTTTTTGGGGAGTGGTATATGTTTGTAGGTTTAACCCCCCATGAGTTGTTGCTTGATCGGTGTTACATAACTAACTCTAATGTTACAATGTAGAAGACATTCTCCCGTCATGATAATCGTGCAGGTGGTTAATTCTCAAGAGCCATTTACAAACTCATTTACAAATATGAAGGACACCGATCACTCAAACAGAACATTAGCTATGAATTATTCAGTTGAAAGTGGTTTCGGTGAAAGCGTTAAAGGCTTGAGTCACATTTTACACACAACGGATGTAGGTCAAAATGTTCGCTGGATCGGATGCATTGTAATTTGTAGTGTGATAATTACGCTGATGTTTGTCAGCCATCGTTTGCACTTACATATGGCATTGACGCAACGCTTGACGGATTATACAACCTAACCTATACATTGCAGAAGGAAAACAGGTTTTGTGCAAACCACATTTCACATATTTGTGTTTTCATACAGGTGTGTTTGAGGGTGGAGGTAATACTGAAATTCCTATAATAAAACTAGCGACAAAATCCTTTCCACATTCTTCAGAAATCTGCTGAAAGCAGAGTCGGTTGAACAATTCCGACTATATCATGGACATGTGTTTATGAATCAGAATCAAATAGTGATGATACCAGCTTAGCTAACAGAGGAGTGTGTCCAGGCAGTCTGGATACAGGTTGGAGACCCATGAAGATCCGGGTTAGAATTGGTCTTCAATAACCAATGTAAGTTAGAGGTGACTAACAGGCGCGTAGCAAGCCAATTTTTGTGTAAGCCCGATAGGTTGCAAAGCTTTATATTTAGTTAGTGTTGAGGCCTTGCCTAACTTTCATTTTCAAAACGATGTGTAAGCAGGGGCTTTTTTTTCATGATGATAACTTCAAAAACCCAAATCACTTTATTAGGCATTGGGCTAAAAATGGAATTTTAACAATTAAGGACCTTTGTAATGAAGATGGTTTTATGTCTTTTGAAGATCTGAAGCTCAAATTTGATAATAGAGGAACATATAAGGATCCTGGAAATGTTTTGTATATCATACCTGAATCATGGAAAAGGACCATAAAACAATACAGAAATATACATAACAATGATCTGGATAATAACCTTCTTCATAAAGATTTTATGGATTTGAAAAAAGGTTCAAGATTATTTTATGATAAACTCTTATCTGACAATATTAAACCTCATATTTGACTAAATGGGAAAACTTATTTTATTATATTGATTTTGATTGGCGTATGATTTTAATATTTGCAGAAACAATTTAAAAGATGTAAAACTTTTTAGATTTTAAATTTAAATTTTGCACAGAATTATTTATAAAAAAAGAGCTTTCGAAAATGAAACTTGTTAACAATACAGTATGTAGCTTTTTGTAATGTGGATAGTGAAACTTTATGTCATGTATATTGGGAATGTAATATAACCCAAACCTTCTGGAAAGAACTTGAAAACTGGATAATCCAAAACATACAGACATTTGAAATAACAGAGTTTGGTTTGGTTTGGAATTTGGGGTAATAGGCCATTACTAAATCATATAATCTTTTCTTCTCAAAGACATATATATACTTGCATTAAACAAAAGTTAATAACTTCTTAAATTTTTTGAAAGACACTAACAGGGTTGAAAATTTCATATCCAGAAGGAGCAATGATTTTGATAAATCTTCAGAGAAATGGTTTCCTTTATCCTCAATTTTCAATCTCTGACTTAATCTGTAATCAAACTTGAATAACTTTATTGGATTATACTTTCTTTTTGCTACAAGTTGATGAACTTTGATCATGCATATGTACACTTATTGCCCCCTCTTGCACATGCAGTTTCAATCCCCCTCTGATCCGCCACTGTGCACAGTGGTATTTCTTTGATGCAAGGCGATGTTTTATATGCACATATGAAGCTTACTGTGTTTATTTAAATTTAAACCTCGCAGCTTGTTACCTCAAGGGGACACGGGTGCACAGTCGTCTAAGGCGCAGTTATTCGCCGAACGAAGCTGCATTCCTTAGGAACACCAGTTCGAATCTCGGCTTCTTCCAAGGAATATTATCAACATAAGGTTGATCAACGTCCTTATAACAGGAGGATATTCGATGCGGGTTCTAACATCGGTATTCAGCAAGTGAAGAAAGGAATAGGGTTTGAGAGGCATATAGACAAGTATGAGGAATCTTGTGTTTCCGCGTATTTATGTTTTATATGTAATAGGACATCCAAGGATAATTATACAGTAGCCGAAGAATTAACCGAGAAGATGTAGACTTTATGGTCGAACTAACATCATTAATAGGTTATTGATATGGACCATATGATACAACACACTTGATATGGATGTGCAACTTCTTTATTATTTACACACGACGTTTCTGGGCTAATGCTTGCCCCTTCATCAGGTGAATGACAGTGAATAGTTACAGAGGTATATATAGTATGTACAGGAAGCCACAGAGTTGTTATTACAATAGATTAGCGAGGGGATTAAGTTTAATACATACTGTTTGTACAATATGTTTACATAGAGTGAATGACCATAGATGGAAGCCAGTAACGGATATACAGTGATACAGATAAGCTGCATTCCTTAGGAACACCAGTTCGAATCTCGGCTTCTTCCAAGGAATATTATCAACATAAGGATGATCAACGTCCTTATAACAGGAGGATATTCGATGCGGGTTCTAACATCGGTATTCAGCAAGTGAAGAAAGGAATAGGGTTTGAGAGGCATATAGACAAGTATGAGGAAGTGTTTTACAGTCAATAGGATAAGGACAGCAATAGCATGAATAGCCAGTTAACTACACAATGTAGAGTATATAAACGCTAACACGTGAAGCATGTAGTATAAACCACAGTATCACGACTGATATGAAACTTTGATGATTCCCACTGTATAAAGAAGTTGTTCCTCCATATATTGAATTATTCCTTCTTTTGTGCTCCATCCTGTCACTGCTTATCAAAGACGTCACTGGGTTTCTTCCGATTATGGTTCTAGATTTTTCAGCACACTACACTAAGACGTGCATCACTTCAGGCAGTCCTCCAGTATCAAGCTTCCACGCGGTGGTGACCCGTGAAGGTCTGGTTACAACAGATCTTCCTGCTTGTCGTAAGAGGCGACTACCGGGATCGGGTAGTCTGGCTCGCTGACTTGGTTGACACATGTCATCGTGTCCTAACTGCGTAGATCGATTCTCATGCTGTTGATCGCTGGACGTGGTATAATTGAAATGCAGCTGCCTTTACACCGTGTACAGGCAGTATTTAGTTACATTGTACTGACGCTGTTGCATGTTGGGTTTTTTCCTGTTGCCCCTCCCAATGCTTTATATGAAACATGGTCGACTGTATGTTGCTGTCATTATTCTACCTCCCACGCAATGACTATGAATTTCTGAAGGCCTTCTGAAGTGATACACGTACAGACCCGTGCAAAAAGTATTCGGACACTTGATGTAATTTCCATCGACTTAAATGTTATTTGAGTGTAGCATAAATAATTTTCATGAAGTGAGTTTAGGGTGGATCTTTGTAAAATTTGACAGGCAAATAGGAAAACATCTCTGCTCTGCGCACATAATTTCAGTTCAATTGTCCGACCCCTATTTAACTAATGACATCACATTTATCAACTGACGTATGGCTCCACAATACACAAGTACACAGGCCGCCATGTTAAATAAGTTCAGGGCACTGTACACATGTTGATTAAATTGTTGCCATTCGATAAATAAGCAACGGAAAATTAAACAGAAATTATGTGATTGTAGGTAAGATGATTCCTCACAAATGTGCAAAATTTGACTTGTATCTTACGAAAATTCATGAAAATTATTTATGGTACACTAAGTAAGTCTATGGAAATTACGCCAAGTGTCCGAATACTTTTTGCACGACTCTGTACTTGCATTTCAATACCCGGACCAAGAAGGAAGTAAAATAGCTCTGGCGTTGCAGACCGTCACAGACAGCGCAGTGTTATCGACGTTGAGCAACCGTCTCGTGTACTCACCTACAAGAGGTAAATATATTTTATTCTATTTATTTTTTTCCACATTTTCAACCCAGCATATCTGTAAATCTCTATTTAGGTCAGAAAGTCTGGTTTCTGAATCTTGTGTTTCCGAGTAAATTATGTTTTATATGTAATAGGACATCCAAGGATAATTATACAGTAGCCGAAGAATTAACCGTGAAGATGTAGACTTTATGGTCAAACTAACATCATTAATAGGTTATTGATATGGACCATATGATACAACACACTTGATATGGATGTGCAACTTCTTTATTATTTACACACGACGTTTCTGGGCTAATGCTTGCCCCTTCATCAGGTGAATGACAATGAATAGTTACAGAGGTATATATAGTATATACAGGAAGCCACAGAGTTGTTTTTACAATAGATTAGCGAGGGGATTAAGTTTAATAGGGTATACATACTGTTTGTACAACATGTTTACATAGAGTGAATGACCATAGATGGAAGCCAGTAACGGATATACAGTGATAGAGATTAGGTGATGGGGACCATATGGTTATAATATCTAAGAAGTAATGAAGCAATATACGTAATGTTTCAAGTGGTAGAAGCTAGTGCATCAGCCTATTTCTGTCCTTCTATTCACCTGACCTACCACAAGTTGAAGAGATCCCTAGAAAGAACAAGACCTATGGTGATCACTGTAACAAAGCTGAAACGTAATATCCCCCATCATTCGTGGAATTCGTGAGCAATTTGAAAAGATTTGTTTTTTGCGTGACGCATTTCATTTCTCTGGCATATGTTCGCATATCCTTGCCGAAAAATAACACTGAAATAGCCAATTCCCTTCCACTGATTTACCCACCGGATCTTGCAATAGGCCACAGAGACAGCTTCATGTGTTTCAAATTTAGATCTATCCATAAAGATTCAGAGTTACAAATACACTCCACAAGACCATATGAAAAAGAGGGATGAATTCAACTTCCAATAATAAACTGTCCCTTTACGTCGTACACTGTTCCAACAGCCCCAACCTTTAGTGTAAACTTATCACAGCTGTTGTGGTACAACTCACCAAGATTTCAAAGAGCGCCATATGACTCGATTCAGAATTTGTTTGATCAAGGTTACGACATTCAGGGCCTCTCTAAAGATTTCAAAAGCTGTAGACATATTCCATTTCATACCCTTGTTTTGACACTTCGCGTTCACATACCCTTGCCGAGAAAACAGGTTTGGACAACTTTAAGTCCAGGTCTCTGAAGTGTAAACGTTTTTGCAATAATCACCCAGTTGTCACTATCAGCAGCATCAGTCACATAATTCTCAGCTGTTGCAACTACAGCCGCCGCTTCAATACGTACTGCCGTGTCAGCATATATGATTACACTATGTACAATTACGTCGACAGCCGTATAACACTTGTTATTGTTCTCTGTGTGTATATCTTATTACCTATAGGTATTCGACAAGGTCAGTGTTTGTCACCGTATTCTGCAGTGAAGTAAAACATCATGGGACTACAACGCTGTCAGCGCTGTTTTGTAATTACTAACTATACTCCCCATCAAAAGTTTACACTCACTAATGTCAATGTAGCCACTCACTTCAGTCAACTGATCTAAATTAGATTTTGCAAAATATTCTATACAGTTTAGGGTACTGTTTACAATTGAACTGATGTACTGTAAACCAAATTCGTAACGTTGAAAAGATTATTGTCATGAGTTCAATAAATGATGAAAGTCAGTGAATATTGGCGAATTCTTAACAAAACTTTACACCAAAACGCAGCTGTTCACATGCACGATATTTGCGCATGCTTTTCAGCAATTTGATGCATGATCCTCGTGCAATTCATCTCCTTAAGGTTTGCAGTTGGTTCCCCCAAGTTAGTGGAGAAACTGTACATATATATACATAACATATAGCGAGTGCTTTAAGTGAGGCTAAACTTTTGATGGATTGTATGTATAGTCCCAACTGGCTCATCCCCTCTGTGTTAACATAGACAGACTCTCAATAAGAACCTACAGGTCATAAGAAATAAATCCCAAACGAAATACGATGTACACAGTAAATGGATTAAGGGTATCCTTATAGTCAGTATCAGACGTATTTTGATTATTTTTAAAGAAATTGTGCATTGACATATTTATTACATTTCACACAATGCACTTTTTCTTCTTTTCATCTGGGGCGGCGGGCAAGCCTTGTGGTTAAAGCGTTGGCTCGTCACATGGAAGGCCCGGGTTCGATTCCCCACATGGGTACAATGTGTGAAGTCCATTTCTGGTGTCCCCGCCGTGATATTGCTGGAATACTAGTAGAGTAAAGTTAAGAACTTCAGAGCCACCCCATGTGGCTCTATGACGTCACCAAGCCACCTGACCATCGAGGGCTCTCTGACGTCATCATTATGCATGATTAAAAACGCAGAATAACTCATTAATATGCAAATATATGCATGACGTCACAGGTAAACAAAGTGAGGTCACAAGTGATTAACCTTATGCACTTATGCAATTAAGGGAACATGCCTTCATTAACGGAAAACAATGCATAGTAATTAATATTTTGATATTTCACCTGAGCTGCTCATGTTAAAAACCTTTGATATCAATTTAATAAATATTGTTAGTTAGTAGTCTGTTTCACCATGTGAGCATTGTGTTTACAGGCACTTCCAATAATGTGTTCCATATGTGACCCCTTCCCTCGCTATAAGACGTCCAGCTTGAGTGTAAGGACCTTTAGGCAGAAACCTCCCCTCTGTGCGTTACAATGAAGTCAAGTGGGAATCATAACATTTCCGTCACCGCATAATGCTAAGTACATTTAATATTTACATCATAAATGGAATTTTTAAACTGTTTGATAACACTAACGAAGTAATCTTTCCCTCATAACATGTAAACATATGGAAATGATAGAACCTTGCTCTGTGTTTGTTTATGGTATGTCGAGGGAGAGGTGATACATGCCTCATTAAGAGTTAAACCACAATAATGATTGACCCCAGAGCCTTCAAATCCTGCCTCATCTAAAAAAAACCAAACAAACAAAAAACAACTTCATCTGTTATTTCGCTGTTGTAAATTAAACATTATTGTTAGGAGTCTTGGTCACGGTGACCTGACCGAGAAGGTGGAAACGAGTTCATTTTTGTTGAACCCGTTCATTTCTTGGTGCGTGTGTGTGTGTGTGTGTGTGTGTGTGTGTGTGTGTGTTTCAGATAACTTAGTAGTTTTATGGGCATGACGTGTATTCATTGTAGATGGAGATAGATAGATTGGGTTTTTCAATTAATCATATTGCGTCAGAATTATTGTTTTGTTAAGAATACGTCCGACTTTGTGTTAGCAGCTGTATGATACTCAATCACTAGCAGCTACCACCCGTCACCCCTTTTTTTTCTGACAAGTTCATTGTTTGACATGCATTAGGCGTTAATGATTGTAGATATTACAATTTGGCTTGGTAGACTGGCGTTTATTCATTGTATATGGAGATAGAGAGTTTGGATTTATCAATTAATCGTATTGCGTCAGAACTATTTTCATTAGAATATGTCCGACTTTGTGTTAGCAAGTGTATGCTACTCAAACACTAGCACCCAGCAGGCACATCAACGTTGTTTCAACGTTGACGAATAGGTTGGTCCTCAACGTTGAAGTTTGACCTGAATTATCAACGTTGACAACAAGGTTGTTTATGAAAGTTTTTTAGACGTAGATATCCGACGTGGAATCAACGTTGAAGTTTGACATATTATTAACGTTGGAAATGGGTTGTTCAGTGGTTGTGTCTGGGAGGTATTACGCTTTCCTGTAAATAGACTCGCACTTCATCTCGCACTACACTAAAGTAGCACCCAACTCATGCATCCAGCTATACAAAAAGCTACCTGCAATAAACAGTGTTCAAACATAAAATTGCAGTAAAAATATTTACCTGATAAAATACTTGGTTAAAATTCCACATTCAATATAATGTTCATTTAAGTTTTATGTCAGTTGGACGTATAATTCCAGTAAGAAGAAAAGAGTATTCCAAATTAAGAAAAACTATTTACTGTTGTATTGTTATCTTGAAAAGGTGGAAATTGTCCCGAGAAGACATTTTGTCTGAATTTCAGCTATTAAACCGAGACCCCTGAATAAACAAAATGCAATTACTTTCACCATGAAAGGGATCCAAGATGAACAGGAACTATACCTGAAGACAGCACATAAAACCAGTCACTTTTATGAAATCTTTATGAACACAAACGCACACAGAGAAACGTGGTTTAAAGCATAATGTAAAACATCACACATGACATAGTCTGTAGGTGATCTCTGTTGTGATAATAACACAATATCATCTGCATATAGCATTAAACTGACATACAGCTTCTCTTCTTTCTGCCACTCCCTGCCTGGCGGTCAGGTGGATACTTCAGAAACGTTCCTAACTCTTTCTTGAAATTTGCTTCGGATGCATTCCCATCTCATTCCCATGAGATAGGACACATTCTGAAATTTTATATTTAAATACATGAATAATTTTATATGGAAGATATATTGTCTTAAATGATTCAAGTATTTGTTTAATCAATCACTTGAAAAGTTCATTTCACTGCTGTAACTTGCCATGTGAACATATGAACAGCATCAATACAAAATGTGACGAAAAATGTAAACAATTTATATATTTTCAACTAAAGGAATGGAAGTTTTCTTAAACATTTTCAAAGAAAATCCTCAATTGCAAGTTGATTATTCAATTAGACTATGAATTAGGATGAATTAGACGATGCTTTACTGTCATATATTATTTGCTATGGTCATGATGAAAATGCTGCATTTGGTAATTAAATTACCAGAGATGATTGAATACAACCTTGTATTCTTAAAAAAAAACTTGCCGTTTTGCCCATCAACATTCATTCTTGACATCAAATTGTTTGACATTGTCCTGCAAAACAATGGAAGATTGTTGTTATTCTGTCAGATTTAGTTTTCTTTAGAGATTCTCGGAAACGATTA